TCAATTGTTCTCGCGTTCGAATTTCTTTTGTTGTTCTGAAAAAAAAATAGTTTTTTAATTTGAAGTATATTTCGTAAATTTAAGGCTTAATTAAATTTTTGATTAAAATATTTGAAGTAATATTTGTTATTAAAGTAATACTGTAACTATTTGAAGTAATACTGAAAAATTATTAGGAAAATTATATCATCAAAAAGAAGTATATTTCGTTAATTTAAAATACAAATAGAATTCAGATTAAAATATTTTAAATAATGTTTGTTACTGAAAATAGGGGCCGATGTTTGAGTGACTAGCACTCTGGCGCTCGATATCACAGGTTTCGGTTTCGAGACCCGTGCGATACCATAGGTGTTTGTAGTTGTTCGGAATCCACTTTAAACAGTAGGTCCCTGTCTAATATGATTGCAAAGTGTTGTGGGGGTAGTGTTACTCGCATCCATAGCATATATTCAAGTTACATATGCCGATGCGTAGTGCTAAATGAGTAACAGCGTTGCAGCCCTTGCTTATGCAATAAAGATAATTGTCTCTACTATTGCCAGCTGCCTTAGAAAAATAATTTAAATATAACGATCTCATTGAAAAGGCCATTTACATTTTAGATGGTTTAAATTGAATTAAAATTTTATTCCTCACAATTTTTTAAAAATATTAATTTAAAATAAAGGAAATAACTGTAATATTTATATTATATGCTACTTTGACAAGTAGCATGGTTAGAGTTAAATTAGAAATATATTTGACAGTGATTAAGTTTAGAAACGAGTAGATCAGGTGGAAAATGTGTCAATTTACATCGCAGGCAGTCACACAATCTGCATAAACTCTTTCAGTAAAATATAAAGCAAACGTCTTCATAATGATTTTAAATTTTTTTATTTTTTGAAAAAATGTTTGTTAATAAACAATACCTATATATTGTTTATTAACAAACATTTACAATACCTATGTACAATACCCTAAACCTATGTACAATGTCTCAAAAATATAAAAATATTTTATTTATTATTTATATTTATATTTTGTATTTTACTTATTTTATTATATATTTTTTATTTCAAAGTAAAATATTTGAATTCGATTTCTGTTTAAAAGTTTTTCCAAACAATAAACTTGCAGTTCAGCAAATACGTAAAGCTTAGGAATTTTATGAATCAACACATTATTTAAGAAGAGGAACGAAATATTGACGGGGAAATTGAAAACGCAAAATAATTCACTTTCAAAAAAATACCACCATGCGAAGTAGTCCTTTGCTGCATCTGCACGTTTCGGTCGTTTATTTTTATTCGGCATTTTTGTGATGCAATTCAAATAAAGTCGCTGACTTTTGAGACCGTTGAAGTAGTTTTCTTTTCCAACTTTATTATTATTCATAAGTTTTTTGCTGGGTAGTTTTTTTAATCGAAAGAAATTTTGTCTGCATTTTGTTTTAAAGTATTTCAATTGTTCTGGTGTTTGAATTTTTTTGTTGATCTGAAAAAAAAAGTTTTTCGCTTTGAAGTATATTTCGTAAATTCCAATTCTGAAAAAATTCGTAAAAAGAAATTCGTAAATTCTGAAAAAATTAGTTTAAGTAAAATTTGTTATTGAAAATACTGAATAATAATTTTAAATCATCAGACATTTTTATTAAAGAATTATTTTATATCACACAAAAAAAGTTCAGAATTAAAATTGTAGTATTTCTAATACTACACATTTGTACATAGAAAGAAGTACATTTCGTAAATTAAGAAACAAATTGAATTCAGATTGAAATATGTTAATTAATATTTGTTATCGAAAATGCTAAGCAATTATTAAAGAAATTAATTTGAAATACTCAGAAATTTTTATGAAAGAGTTTTATCTCACACAAAAAGAGTTGAGGATTAAAATTTTGGTATTTCTAATATTACATATTTGTCTTTAAAATAATGAGTAGCTCTACATAAAAAAAAATATATTTTCTCCTTTTCTAAGAAAAACTATTTTTAAAATCAGTTTCTATAATTTGTGAAAACTCTAAAATTTTTTGTATAGTTTTTTAAAATGAAAATTAATTAATGCTTTATATGTTTAAATAAATAATTTGTTCTACGGTATGTGTAAATATATATATAAATCTGCCAGCTTCCCAGAATAAGTAAAAAATAATATCTAAATTTTTATAAAACTTTTTAAAAATTTTATCATCGATTTTTAAATTAAAACTTTTTATAAAAATATAGCAATTTAAATTGTGTTTCCGTCAGCAGAAATCGTAATTGTCTTCGATTTTTCATATGACAAATAAAGACCAACAGCTTCTTAATACTAATATATAAATGAATAAATTAGATAAATGCTTTATATATGCTAAATCGTTTTGCCACCCTATGTTGCAATTGTATGTTCCACCAACAGTTTAACTAAGAGTGCAGAGGAAATCCGTGCCCTTTGATAACGCTTTCACACATTTGAGTGTCATATTAATGAACCTTGAAAACTTCTATCATTCATCATGGCTGTCGATGCCATATGTAGGAATAAGTTGCTTCAACAGCATTTCTGAAAGCTTTGGTTGTAATGTATGCTTCCAACACACATGAATTTAGAATTTTTTAAATAGCAATCTCTATTATATGTTGTTTACGAATACAAGGCACTACTTTTTAAAGGTGTTAGCTACTTTAATGGTAGATGAGTAACACATTCAGCGTTTTCTAGGAAGTATCTCGAAAGGAAGGAGGCTGCTATACGATAACCACGTTTTGTTACCTCAGTTTTCAGCGAACTCCAAAGATCCACTGTAACCGTGCTTCCTCCTATACACTGACAAAAGTACCAAGAGTAGAGAAATGATTAGTTGGATTTCAGACTCTCATTCCAGAGGAAGTGTGCTCTTGTATGAGAAACCATGCTCTTGTACTGAGAGACGTTTAGTTGATCTCCAGTCTTTCACCCCGCTAGGAAATATAGTTCAAACGCAGCATTGCATGTTAGTCGGTCTACAGACCCTCACTCGAGAGGACGTATATTTCGCACATCCTGAGCGTAGCCCAGTTTAGGATTTTCGGTTTAGAAGTGGAGTTCTTCCTATTCGATTCTATAAATATCTGTCTTTAAATGTGTTAATTATTGCGTGTATTTGTGTGAGGTGTGTGAGGTAAATATTTATGTCTGTGGTGTTTGTGCGTGTGTAAATAAAGCTGCTAGTTCTCAAACTTGTGTTTCAAATATCTCAATTCATCCACAACCAGTTACAATCTGATTGCTCACCCTGGCCATTACGCCACTTCTCCAATGATTTGTCTTCTCCTTCTCTAAACCAACGGAAGGACTCTATTACCTACAGGGCTTTCCTGCCCATATCCGTAGTAAACAAGAAAGCTTCCTCTTTGTCTGGGTTTTTAAATTGGGTTTTCTAGTTCCGAAACTCCTCTTTCACTCAGAAAAAGAGCACTATAGTTGGCCACGAGTTACTTTATATAAAAGTAATCTTATTTTAAATTAGAAATATATAATTTTTATGTATTAAATGATTCTTTACATGTAAAACTACAACCAAATGGCCCTTGAGCAAAATTCTGAATGGATTCCTATAGTTCTCAATTTTAAATTAAAAATCGATGAAATTTTTTGAAAATTTTAAATCAATTTTAAGTTAAAATTTTCTGTGTCTTTCAGATCAATAACAAGGAGAATAACAATGAGTTACTTTTATCGATATCAAATTACCGCATCGATAACAATTTACATTATTGTCCAATCGATATCGACCCCATCAGTAAGCTACATACCATCCTATCGAGAAGTTACATATCACTCTATCGATATCGACTCTATCAGCAAATTACATGTCACCCTATCAACAAGTCACATATCAACATATAGATATCAAGTTACGTATGAATCAAAGCAGATTAGTTCCTTGATAATCTCCTTGAGTAGTTACTTTCTGGAAGGACATATTCATGGATTTTAGTGTATTTAGGCAGAGTTGAGGAAATCTTCTGGTTTTACAGTTGCATGATATTAAAAAAGCCAGTTTCATTTCAGAAAATATCCAAGAAATTATTTTTATAATAAATTGAAACGAGAATTATTAACATTATTAACTATTTGGTGTATTTAATTGATAAATAATAAAGGACGCTGAAATGTGACCGTTATTATTAGCTTCATGTAAAACTTTCAAAGAAATGCTCATATAAAGTTATTGAACAAACCACACGCTGAGGAACTTCTTTTCAAATATCATGGATAATGAAAGTGTGAAATTTTGATCGTTTCGATATTAAAAAATACTCAAAATGTTGATAAATTGGTTAATGTTATGAAATTAAATTTGGTCATGGTTGTTTTGAAACTGTGAGTACATTAATCTAATAACATTCACCACGGCAGTGGTAGATATGTAGCAGATTCCGTGTAATTAAGGTTACCTTTTCCTGTAAAGGTGAGAATGTATTATCTATAGAAGCATTGATATATTAACAGTTATTTATTTTATCTTCGTAACTATGCTTCCACCTACCTATTTGCAAGAGCTCCACCCTGCGACGTTCAGGAGAAATGGTCAGTTGGCCTACAGACTCTTACCCAGAGAGGAAGTATATTTCGAGCGCCCTTCGTGTAGCCGAAGTTTCGGGTTTCGGCTTAGAAGACGAGTCTTTCCACGAATCTATAATTATCTGTCTTTAAATATGTTAAATATTGTATATCTCTAATTGCATGTGTACGGTGTTTATGCGTGTGTCCATAAAGCTGTGAGTTCTCCAACCTATGCCTCAAGTATCTCATTCCAATCACACCTAGTTACAATGCAGCTGCACGAATTGCACACTACATCTTACAGTTATTATTATTATTAAGTAATTTATTTTTAATCTATTGTTATTATTTATTTATTTACTTATTTTTGAGTTATTATTATTATTTATTTATTTTCAAGATATTATCATCTGCTTTGAAAACTCCAATAAAATAAACTTATCATGAGAAATGTAATGTTATATAACAAAATTATACGGCATACCATGCTGAATATACCGGTTCTCGTTAGATCACCGAAGTCAAGCATCATTGGGCGCGGTCAGTACTTGGGTGGGTGACCACCTGGGAACACCGCGTGCCGCTGGCATTCACAAATTTGGGACCTGAATGGCTGAGTTTCTAGCGCTCTGGCACTCGGTGCCACAGGTTTCGGGTTCGAGTCCCGGCGGTGCCATGGATGTTTGTAGTGTTTCAGAATCCACTTTAAACCGTAGGTCCCGGTCTCCCATGACTGTAAGAGCGTCACGGCGCCAAAGTCAGACTTCTACCTACGGGGTGCTCCATCACAACAGAAACTGCTTCCTTCCCCTTCAATCGTGAGTACGTATGGGCTCGTGGGCTTGACCAGCCAAGTGGGATAAGAAACAACAACAACAACAAAATTATATAAAGATATAATACCAAAGAAATATGTCTTTTCCAGAATACAAATTGATGAAACACAATTTATAAACCACTTTAAACCGTTTCTATTATTAAAAAGTAGTCATTTTCTATAAAGATCAAGCTAATAGAGGCTATCGGGGGAAAACTTTCACCAACATGAGACTCGTTAACGTTGTAATATTATAGACTATTCCAGTTTTCAGTTTAGAAAAAAAAAGCTGTTAGAGTTTCAAGTCACGCAGTAGATGTATTTTCTGCAGGGATATATGAGTTAAGTGTTCTATGTAAATAAAGGTGAGGCACCCAAGACACACACTTGTTTTCAATACGAAGGAGCTAGACGAAATTTAACCTGGGAACAGATTGAATTTTTCTAGATAGGATTATAGTAGAAAAAGAACAGCCTGGTTGCCTTAAAAATCTATAAAATGCAAACAGTTTTATTATAAATACATTTTTAACGGATATTTTTATATAAATGTTAAAATTTAGCTTCCGATAAAATTACTGGAATGTGAGATTTAAATCCTCCAAAAATTAAATAAAAATTCCAAATTAAATGTTTGAGAATTTTTATGTAAAATTATTACCCTTAATCATATTGATGCTATTATTTTGTTAATATACTTTAAAGATAAGCCATGAAATATAACAGATTCAATATACATAGTAATTAGTATAATGAAAATAGTTTTCAATGATTTTTCAAATCAATAAAAAACAATTATTGATTACTAGTTATTAGAAAACCCTATAATGCTTTTTGGACTAAGGTGTAATTTTATTGCTTAAAGTTTCCTTGTATTTATAAAATTATTGTATATTTATTGCCTCTCGAAGATATTATGGATTTATTACATATAGATTCCTTCGTACAGATTCATTACACATAGATTCATATAGATTCATTACACATAGATTCTTTCGTACAGATTCATTACACATAGATTCTTTCGTACAGATTCATTACACATAGATTCATTCATGATTCATTGCTCATACATTTATTTGTATAGATTCATATAGATTCTATACACATAGATTCATATAGATTTTTATACATAGGTTAATTCGCACATATTCATTACACATAAGTTTATTTGTATAGATTTCATATATTCATATAGGTATTTCATATATCATATAGGTTCATATAGATACATATATTCATATAGGTTCTTTATATATATATTCATATAGATATATATATTCATATAGGTTCTTTATATATATATTCATATAGATTCTTTACACATATATTCATATAGATTCATTACGCATACATTAATTCGTACAGATTCATTCGTATAGATTCATTACACATAGATTCGTATAGATTATTTGTGCATAGATTCATTACACATAGATTCGTATAGATTATTTGCTCATAGATTCATCCGTATAGATTCATTATACACAGATGTAAAAATAAAATATAAGTACAAAGTTGTAAAATAAAATATAAGTACAAAGTTGTAAAATAAAATATAAGTACAAAGTTGTAAAATAAAATATAAGTACAAATTTGTAAAATAAAAATAATAAATGTGAAAAATATTAGCCTTATTCTTATGTCCTACAATTGAAAAAAAAAATTACTTTAAGAATAAAAAAAGTTTAATTCCCTCATTTGTGAATTCCATAGCACATTGCTGTTATTCATTTTCCTACAACTGCAACAGCTTCTAAAAAGTAGATATTCAGAAGAACATAACCAATGAAGATGTTTATTTCTACATCTTATTTTATCTTTCAAGGAAAGCAAATTACTCTTCAGTGAGCCTGAAAGTAACGACCGAAATTTATGTTTTCGTAACTGTTTGTTATTCATTCCTCTTCCACAAGATTACTGCTAAAAAAAAAAGAACAGCTGTTTTCTGATAAATTTCTTACTTACAGAGATTTGGACTGGTTGGGTAATATTAATGGTGTCTATACAATGTATGTCACGTTCCACTTATTTTTATGGCTGTGAAAATCTCAAAAGAACTGACCAAAATAATCCTCTGGGTTCGACTGAGTATAAACTATGAAGTAAGCACATTATTGATCTTGGAAAGAAACATTTAGCAAGAAAATAGTTTAATATAAATACAAAATATAGCAACTGAATCCTTTAAGTTCCTTATGGTTAAAGTTTAGTAACTTTAACAGCTTGCTACATTTCTACCACTGCTTAAGTTAAATTCATTAGATTTCTAACATAGATTTTTTATTAGTAATAATATTTATTAAGCATTAATAAAATACATCTGAAATCTTACTTTTGAAAATTACTTTTTTGTAATTAAATGAATGTGATTTATGACTCAGTGGTAATGTGCACTGCTGGTGAGCATTAGAGATGACGTTTAATCCTTTGGTGAAATTGTTACAGATAATAATAATTTTGGCAATAATATTATCATGATCTATGTATTTATATTTTCTAATCATTGAAATTCATTACGAATTTAAAATAAACATTCTTAAATCTATTATATATCATCAAATTTCCAAATTATAACTTTTCTCACATTATTGTTATACGTAGAAACTCAATTTCATTTTCATTGCTTGTTAATTTAAACTGGAGTACATTACACGTTGCCTGACTCGTAGTTCAGTGACAACGTGTGCAGCTGGTGAGTATTAGTGCTGAGGTTCAATCCGCTGGCTTGTTGTAGGCACTGTTTCAAAAAAAAGGGAGACTCGACGTCGCTTGGGATATTCAGTATCTTGCCTCATTAGACAAACTACCTAGCGGGAATTTTCTGAGTTTTCTTCCATATGATGCTCAAATACGTGGAAGTTCTCTTTAAAAGTCCACCTGGAAGGCACTGCCTTCCTTCTTCAGCTATTCGGAGTCAAATCAGACTTCTACCTACAGGTGACGGGTAAATGGGCAATTGGCTAGCGCTCTGGCCATTGGTAACACAAGCTTCAGGTTTGAATTAGTGGCATGGATGTTTGTTAATGGTTTGAAATCCACTTTAAGCAGCAGATCCTGGTCCCATATGAATGTAGAGTGTCACGGAGCCCAGTCAAACGTTTTACCAAAAAACAAACGTTTTACTTCTATACAATTATTCAAAAATTGTATAGAAGTAACTCAACTCTAGGCATAGTGATGGGGTGTAATAATAGTAGTAGTAGTGAATCCGCGTTAAACTGTATGTCCCGGTCAAATTAGTCTAAAGTGTCGTCAAATTAGTAAGTCTCATCGTGGAACTACAAACCAAACCTTGCCTACAGGTGCTGCATCACAACAGAAGCTGCCTCCTTTCCCTCCATCCATGAGTAAACCTCTCATGGAGTGTCCGTCCCACGCTGCCGGACTTTGAGGATTAGTCAAACCATTAAAATATATAATATTCTGTATAAATAAGATTAATAAAGGGCCAGATAAGAATCCATCAAATTCTTTTTTTATATTTTTAGCGAGAAATCGATATTGCAACAAAGCGCATCACAGCAACAAAAAAAAAGTGAAAAAAAAAACCAAATAAAAAAAGATGTACTAGTCTCATTGGCTTCATGCTTTGCAATTATCGGTCTGCCACGGAAGGTCTATGCAGGAAATTGTAGGGCAGCAAATTAAACAGGATTAACTGGGGTAATTGGATCTGCTGCATTCTGTGCTAGATTGCGACATCCATTTATTGACTGTCTAAGAAACAGATATCTTCTGAAAGGAAGTGTTATCAGCTCTTCCGTGTTCCTGGGTCGAACTATTTTATTTATCTGTTCTAAAACTAAGCTATAATATCACAGTTTAAAATCATAAAACAAATAAGCGTGATAAATTTAAGTAATTTATGTAAGATGAATGAATTATTTGATTATGGAATATTCTCAAGCATAATTTTGATTTGCTGGAAGAAATATTGAATCCCCAACTCGCGTGTTCGTAACAATTCAGGACTGTTTGAACGAGTTCTCTAGTTCACAATTCCTCGTTTCAAAGGCTCATATGTTTTACAGATGGCAGAAATTTTGAGCACATTCTGCTAGGTTGGCCAAGCATTGTTTAATTAGTTATATTTTGAATAATATTTAAAATGTTTTGGAGCCCATTTGAATCATCCTATTTAGATACAGAGAGGGATTTTAACATTCCTTCTAGGTTAGTAGATATATCGCGACATATACTCTCTAATTTAAAAGGCTGTTGCTTTGACTATTCTTCATTATCCAGCAGCGCGTGAGTGACGGACAGACACCCCATGAGTTCCCTCATTCCGTTTCTACTCATGGAAGGTGGGAAAGGGGGGCAGCTTCTGTTGTGATAGAGCACCCGTAGGTAGAAGTCCGACTTGATTCCAAGAAGTAGAAGAAGGAAGTGCCTTCCGGAAAAACTTTTAAGGGGGAAATACCCCCAATTATGCGCATCATATGGGAGAAAAATCCGGAAATAAACCACTAGGTAGTCTCACTAACGTGCAGGATGCTGAACGTCACAAACGCCCTCGAGTCTCTTCGCTTTTGAAACAGTGTCTACAACACTGCCGCCGGCGGATTGAACCTCAATTCTAAGTCTGACCAGCAGAGCATGTTACCACTCAGCCACGAGTTGAGCTCTAATTAAAAGTTGTACTCAGCGGCATTATCATAGGGTGACTGAAAAATAGAACAAAGTTCAAATATTCTTGTGCGCATAAGCACTGTGCAATTCTGTCATTCCATTTCTCAGTCCCATAGGCCAAATGCATATCAGCT